ACAGCTATCCACTGTTCTTACCTTAAAGATCAGTGGAAGAGGGGCCAGGGATTTAGCTCAGCGGTTCGGTGGCCTGCCTCAAGAACCCGAGTTCCATCCCCAGTACCAAAAAAAAAAAAAAAAAAAAAAAAGATCAGTGGAAGAACAATCAATGAAGAACACCAAATTAAAAAATGATTATGAATACTCCTGACTTGGATTTCTTTTAAAAATTGTTTTTAAAAACCCATGTAAGCCGGGCGTAGTGGCGCATGCCTGTAATCCCAGCACTTGGGAGGCTGAGGCAGGAGGATCGCTCTGAGTTCAAGACCAGCCTGGGCTACGTAGTGAGTTCCAGGTCAGTCTTAACTACATAGTGAGACCCTGTCTCAAAAAAAAAAAAAAAAAACCCAAAAAAAGAAAAATGTAAGAAAAGAAATTAGTATATGAAAAGAAGAAGCAAATCTTATGGCTCTGAACAATGTTCACATACATACCTGTCACCTGAAATAATTTTGTTAGTAAATGTCAACTCATAAAGCAAAGCAATAACAAAAACTATAACCACTTAGAGATCTCGCTTAGCTAAGCAAGTGAAGTTAGCATATGGCTTGTAGCCCCCTCCCTCTGGGAAGCTAAGGAAGGAGGATGGCTAATTTGAGCTATAATTAGTAAGACCCTGTGTCAAAAAACAAAAAACTCAAAGAAGGTGGGAGGAATACAGCTCAGTGCAAAGGCCCTGGGTTCAAACCCATTACCAAAACAAACAAATGAATAGAAAACAACCTCTGGAATAATTTAAGTAAATAAGATCATATAGATAAAGCACTTAGTAAAAATACTGCCTCAGAAAAAGATTCTAAATAGAGTTCCTTTCTCTTTATGTGCCCATATACTCATCTAGAATATTAAGATTATAACAGATTCCTGTCTGGTTTCTTTCTTTTTTGGGGTACCAGGGATCAAACGCGGCCCTCGCAAGGCAGGCACAGGAACCGCGGGGACGAAACTCAGGACCTTGCACTTGGAAAATAGGTGGCAGAACCACTGAGCTAAATCCCCGGCCCACTGCCTGGTTTCATTGCTTCCAAATTGTCTTTATAAATTACCCTGAACTTGGATGTCAGAAATATTACAATTAATAAACAGCAGGGCTGGAGTGTAGCTCAGTGGTAGAGTGCATGTTCAGCACACACAAGGCTTTGGGATTACAGAATAGGGAGGTCATCATTTCAAGCAGGATTGTTTAGAAAACTGTACAGGCAGTAGCAGGATTTGAACTAGAATTTGAAGGCTATATTACACTATTTTATATGGTGAAAGCATGACATTAAGGAAATTCAGGAAGAGCTATATGAAGAAGTGTGTGAAAGTATACATGCTTCACAATCTATAGTAGCCTCAAATTTTCTGGTTTTCTTTCCATTGTGTCCCAATGGAGAGGCCCAAATGTCCCAAATCAAGTGCTATTTCCAAGATACAGGGTAGCTTGCTTCTGCCATACCTTTATTCAGGCCATTACCTCCCATAATAGCAGGGAACACATTTTGCACAATCTACAGCCCTCATTACCAGTTCCGCAATATACGTGATAATGCTGGCTAAATCAAAGTTCATCGTTCCCTCACCTACTTTTCCCTTGCTTAAATTCTTTTCTTTCTCCTTCTAATCCTAATTGACCAAAGGAATTTAATAACTATTCATTAATATATAAAGCAGATAAATTGATTTTTTTTTTAGATGACCTTACAAGTCACTAAATTGCCCCAGCTAGGCCAAACTGGCAATCCTCTTGCCTTTGCCTCCCATAACACTGGGATTACAGACAGCCTTGTACCACCACACCCAGCTCAAAAATTGTCTTTAATTTAAGCTTTGTGCAACGGCAGTATCATAGCCAGTGAGGCTTCTCTGAGGCTCAATTATTTGTTAACTGAAAATTTTTAATTTAATCTCTGAAACATTTCCCCTTTCCCCCCTTTTCCACCATCTCCTCCTCCTCCCCTACACTACTTTCCACTCCACAGACCCTTTTCCCTTTGAGTTTCTTTATGGAAAAATGTTCCTCTCACTTCAGACATTTTTCCCTACTAATGCTCCCTACAGTTTTTGTTGGTGCTTAAGGAAAATAGCTTTGCGCATAATTCACTATGACCTGGACTTATGACATCAACTTGTATTTGGCAATTAGAAACAAAGCCAAACTGCATATTTCTGAGGATAAACAGTTGACAGCTGGCACTTAACTCGTTTTTTTAAATAGAACTTTTAACAATTACTCAAGTTGCACTAAGTCACTGATGATAACTCAGATGGGCATCTCTGAAAATATCAATTTCCTGTCCCATTCTAGCCAGCGTTTTTTGGTTGTTTTTTTAATCTTGGAGAACAACTGAAATTACCCACCAACCTAAGACCGTTTCCAAGTTTTTATGACATTTATTAAAAAAAACAAGAATCCTCACCCAATACACCTCCACAGATGAAACCACTAACCAAATAAGTACCATGATTAATTTTAATAAATGACTCTCTCATTGCCACAAGCGCCTGGGCTCCATATCCAGCAAACACCTGCCCACAGCAGCCAAGCCTATAAACCAGCACCTACACAGTACAAATCCTGATGCTAGATTTTAAAAATACACAGCAATGATAGATGGGGCAGACTCTTCACTGATTTGAAACTTTTCCTTTACAAATAAAGCATAGTAAGATTTTGTGTTCTTGCTGGGAAGGAAAGGAGCAAAAAGGATTTAATAAATAGATACAAAATTAGAAACAAACCTAGATGTCCTGCCTGAATGAGGAATAATTAGTCAAAAAACAATAGTAAAACAATAAAAATGAGAATTATTTATTTCAATCATTAAATTTGTAAGACTGAGTGCTCACTTCAGCAGCACATATATTACACCAAGCCCTTGAAAACAGCTCATGTACCAATATGTTATATATTTTTTTCTTGGCCAAAATTGTAAGTTATTCACTCAGGGAAAGAGAAACTGCCTACTGATAGCCAGATGTGGTAACACATGCCTGTAATCCCAGCACTCTGGGAAGCTGAGGCAGAACTATGAGTTGCAGGCAAGTCTGGGCAACTCAGGGAAACCCTGTCTCAAAATAAAAAATAAAATAGTTCGGGGGATGTAACTTAGTGCGAAGGCTGAGTTCAATCACCAGTACTAGGAGATGGACAGCAGTTACCCAACAATCAAGTTTATTTTACTTTTTTTAGCAAAACAATTATTGTTACAGTTTAGATATACATAATGGTAACATTCATCACAGGGAATTTGTACCAGTACATAATATATCTTCTTTATGTACAAAAGCTTTGTTTCCATTTTTTTGCTTAAATTTTCTTTTTTTCTTGTTCTTTCTTTCCTTTCCTATCAAGTTTAAAGTCTCTTATAACTGAACAACAAAGTACTAGTCAGAGAAGACATCCTCCAGAAATGACCCTGATCACTGCAATTTTGGATGTTCATATAGACGCTCTAATGTAATCAGGAAAAAAATGAATAAAATATAATACACTATTCAGTAGGACTTCAGTAGGAGTCTGAACTCACAGTTTCAAGTATAGCAAATACACCTTCTAAATACACTTTATAAAGCATACAGTATGTGGCTATACTATAGATATCACAAGGACATGAACAGATGAAGGTATTTTAATATCAAACAAATAGGTTCTCATAATATTTCTAGTAACATAATTTCTGGACTCTAAAAGTGCTGTATTTCAAACAATTACATTACATCAAAGGGAAAATGATATGGCCTTGGCCTTGGAAGATAACTGAAAAACTAGCTCTGATAATAACAAAGACACTGATATCAAAGTGAAAATAATCTTATATTCATTTTTATGTAATGTTTCTAACTTCTTAAATTTAAATAATTTGAAGTAAAAGCATATGTGCATGCACAAATACATATAATTAAACTTATAACTAAAACAGGTCTATTCCATCTGTATCACGGGATATTTACATATTCAGGTTGGTTAATTTTGGAAGTGATCTCATTGGAAAAAAAGGAGAGCAGCCTTGGATTTGAAGGCAATTTACAGTTGGACACATCTAAGTATTATATTATAATTTTTTTTTTTTTTAAGTATCCTGGGCCAGGGATTTAGCTCAGTGGTTCCACTGCCTGCCTTAAAAGTGCAAGGACCCAAGTTCAATCCCCGGTACCAAAAAATTAAAATTAAAAAATTAAAAAAGTATCCTTTGCTGGGTATGGTGGTATATGTCTATAATCCTAGCACTCTGCAAGGCTGAATAGTGTCACAACTTCAAGCCCAGCCTGAGCAAGTGAGCAACTTAGAAGACTCTGTCTCATAATAAAAAAGGCTGAGAATATAGTTCAATGTGCTGGGAATACAGCTCAGTGTGAAGGCCCTGGGTTCAATAAGCTTCCCAAAGGTATTCTTTTTCCTACAGAATTTCTTAAAGGTATGATCAATTATGACATGTAGAACTTTTGGGGTTGGTTTTTTTTAAAAATAGTTTCTATTTCTCTGACAGAGAACCTACTTCTGGAGTCAGAGCTGGCTTTTACTGGAAGCCTATCTACTATGAATCATGATAAAATCTTTTATAAAGCATTAATACATACAATTTTGTCAGCCATTAACACAGTTCACTAACATCAAGATTTGCCAGTAAAAGCCAACAAATGACAGTGAAGGATGAGATAGGAGAGATAAGGGCAAAGTTTGTTCTGAAACAGGATGAGAAACTGGCAGTATTCTTATTTTCTTGTACCCTAGCAAGGTAATGTCAACTGATGAGAAAGGTAGACAATCTTTAAAACAATTTAACATTAATATTTTTGTTTGTTTGTTTGTTTGGTACCAGGGATTGAACTCGGGTCTTTGCGCTTGCAAGGCAGGCCACCAAACCACTGAGCTAAATCCCCCGCCCAACATTAACATTTTTTTTTAAAGTGACTAAACAAAGCTCTTTACCTAAAACTCTACATCTATGTTTCTGAAACAGGAAGTTACTTACCTCTGCTTCTGCTGTCAATTGTCTTTTCTTTGCTATCAACTGTTTTATGTCAATTCGACCTAAGAAAAGGAAAAAAGCAAGCTTTAAGTTAACAGATACAGATATCTATTAGCATTATTTAAATCATTAAGTTAGAAAACAAGCAAATACAAAATGATTGTGTAAATTATAGTACAACCACAAAACATGACAAAAACCTTAAAAATAATGCAAAGGCAAAATAAGAACAAGGGAATTTACACACAAAAATACTAAGAAAAAAGAACAAAACTATAAACATACTGTATTAACATAAAACTGTTAATTACGTGATTCTATAAACCCAATTCTGATAGTAAAAGAATCTAGATTCCCTAAGTAGACCCTACAATAGAGTACTAAGACACTGAGTAAAATATTAAAACTACAATACATTTTAAGCTTATTGCCAAGCTGGTAAAAATCTATATAGGCAAAGAAATAAATGATACTAGAACCCTGGGGGTACGTGAAAAATGTATGAATTCTTGACAAATGCTTGAAACCCTAAGTTTTACACTGACAGCCACACAAGGACTGAATGGTGTGCAGGATACATTACTTCACAGAATGGTAAAGTCTGGGACCTGTCTAAACTTGAGAAATCTAACAGTATACCATCTAAAAGTAAGAACTCCTAAGGCTACACCCTTGGTAGACAGGATAAAAACAACAGAAGGGAACAGTAAGAAACGAGTATGTCTCTACTTGATGCTGTTCAGATGGGAAAAAGATGACTCCCAAGAACTTATAACCCCCCTCCCTTACAAGATTTTGCAACTTAAATTCACATTATCTGTGTGGTCTGAATAACTTCAAGAAGTGTTTTAGGGGCTGGAGATTTAGCTCAGTGGTTCCACCACCTGCCTCACAAACACAAAGACCCAAGTTCGATCCCTGGTACCAAAAAAAAAAGTGTATTTATTTTAAAGTAAACCCATATTATATTGTGTCCTCAGATTATGGGGAAATGCAGTTCCTCCTGGAAGATTATAATATCAAAAAAGGCCTTAAAGAATTTCTTTCAACACATACATTTTCAAGAAAAAAGGATAATCATGAAATATACCAGGAAACAAGACAATGTAAATGAGAAACAGCAAAAACCAAAGCCAAGGGACTCAAATTTAAAAAATTAAAGACATGATGGTTTTTATAGGAAATAAGAAACGTTTAAGGAATAAAAAGAACCAAATATTTTTCAAAACAAAAAAACCCCTGAAATTCCAAGCTCAGTGGATGATTAAACACACACCTCAAGTGGAAATTTAGATTTATTTTGTAATCTAAAATATAGAGCAGAGAAATAGTGATGGAAAATACTAGCGATTAAAAGACATGGAAGAGATACCACCAAGTGGCCAATAGGAGCCAGGAGCCAACAGGAGCCAGGAGCCAACAGGACTGTGCGGGAGATGGATAGTGACAAGTCCACAACAGATTATCTCTGATTTAGAAAGTCTGCAGATTCTCCTAGGGTGAAGTCACTATGTTATACAGTTTTACGAGGAATATGAATGATCACAAAAACACAATGGTTCAAAAAAAGGCTCAGAGAATAAGATATAAAAATCACCAATGTGCCAAGAATCATAAAAAATGCCATACCTCAGTCAGGAAAAATTTCAAAAGATGCCAAAGGATTATGCCCAAAAATATGAGCTCAACAGCTTTGTAATATCTATAGTAAATCAATGCTGGCATTAAAAACTGACATAAAAAAAGAACTAAATAAAAAGAAAGATGTCCAATCTGCACTCACTGGAAGACAACATTGTTAAGACGGCAATACTTCTCAATGTAATCTACAGATTCAAAGCAATCCTCATCAAAATTTCACTTGATTTCTTTGCAGGAATGGGCAAAAAAATTAATTCTCAAATTCATATGGAAATTCTAGGGACACAAACAGCCAGAAAAATCTTGAAAAAGCGGGAAGACACTGCAATTTTAAAGATAATGGGATAGAATTAAGAGTCCAGAAATAATGACGTTATCAATTGATTTTTCAAAAGGGTGCCAAAACAATTAAGGAAAGAGGTAGTCTTTTCAACAAATGGTAATAGGACATTTAGACAGAATAAAAATGGACTGTGAACTTGCACCAATGTAGAAACTTAATTTAAAAAGGTAAAATATCTACAAACTATAAGAGCTTACAACTGCATTTGGGGAGGAGGTACCAGGAATCAAACTCAGGCCCTTGTGCTTGCAAGTCAAGCAGCGGAACCATGAGACAAATCCCCAGTCCTAAAACAGCATTTTTGAAATGTAGTTTCTTATTTGAAATGCTAGAAACCAGAACTATTTCAGATTTTAGAATTTCTTGGATTTGGGAACATTTGCATAGATTCTACTGGATAAGGTTGAGAATAACTAATACAAAATTCAGATTGTAGAGATGCTTGTCTGTATAAATTTCCTAGAAGTAGAAGCATAAATCTTTATGGCCTTGGACTAGACACTGGCTTCCTAGATAAAGAACCAAAAGCAAAAGCAGGATAGAAAAAAACAGATAAAGTGGATTCCATAAAAATTTAAGTCATTTTTGTACTGCAAAGGATACCACACCAAGAAAAGAAAAATAGCAGAGAGTAAGAAAATAATGTGCAAATCTGATCAGAAGTTTGGATCCAGAATGTATAAAATAATTCAACAATAAAAAGAGGCAAAATCCAATTTAAGTATATTTACACCCAATTCTTATCTTAAAACTAATCTTCAAAAACAAAAAAATACTTTTTACAGAAAATTTTAAAATCCAACCCACTCCCCCAAAACACAAATAAAATTACCCACTATCTTATATTAATAGTATCTGCTAACTATCATTTGCCTTTTTACTTTGTTAAATACATTTCTATAAAAAAGATTCATGCACACTGTTCTGTAACTTGTTTTTTTCACTTAATATCTTTCCATGTCATTACATACTTTTCTACATTATTTTTATTGCCCTATTATTGTTTTTCTATGGCTGAAACATATTGGATATTTTTACTAGTTTTACCATTTCATAAAGTGTCATCTGGGAAGACGTAAGACTATGAAAAGCACGAAAATGTATCTGACCAAAACTGTCTACTAAAGAGACAACAGTTGATGTAATAATGGGTAAGAATTTTCCAGAACTGTTGAAAGACAAAAATAAAGACTGAGGTCAAGAATTCTAAAGAGAATAAATAAGTATTTACTTAGATATATTACAGTAAAACTGTGTAACGTGGTTTTACTGTTTTGGGGTTTTTGTTTGTTTTGCTTTTTTGGCCATATTAGGAATTGAACACAGGGAGCACTGAGCTACATCCTCACCCTTAATCCCCCCTTTTAAAGACAGAGACTTGATTAATTGCCATAGCTGGCCTCACGTTTGCAGTCTTCCTGTCTCAGCCTCCCAAGCAGCTAGGATTATAGGTCTGTGGCATTGCAATCAGCAAAACAAAAACAAAACCTATTAAAAGCCATCAGAGAGGGCTGGGGATTTAGCTCAGTGGTCCCGCCACCTGCTTTGCAAGTCCAAGGACCCAAGTTCGATTCCAGGTACCATAAATAAATAAATACATAAATGCCATCAGAGGGCTGGGGGTTTAGCCCAGTGGCACAGTGCCTTCCTGGAAGTGCAAGGTCCTGAGTTCAATTCCCATACCTAAATATTTTTTGAAATTAAGAAAAAAATAAAAGCCATCAGAAAAATATCAGCTACAAAATAACTGCAATTACACAGGCAGCTAACTTAATCCAACAAAAACCAGCAAATACTAGAATATCTTGAAATGTCAAGATGGGTAGAAGTTAATTTTTTAAAAAAGAAATTAGAGCCAGGGATTTGGATCAGTGGTACCGCCACCTGCCTAAATTTGATCCCTGGCACCACCAAAAAATAAATAAATAAATAAATAAATAAAAAGCTCTTGTTTTAACAAGTTTTGAAGATCTTTTTAAAATTGCACACTTTACCACCTTAAAAAAAAAGCAGAGTAAACCTCACGTTCTAATCTTTAAGGAAAATGAAAGTGATAAGGCACTATGTGTACTGTACTATTTAGTGATGTTTCCCTTCCAGTGTGAGCTGAAATGTGGAGTCATCAAACATGTACTACATACAAGACCAGTTCCAAGGAGTTAGTTACACTTTTCAATCAGGCTGGTTCTTCAATGATTTTCACCAAATCTCTTTCCTGTACTAATCCTGTGCTTTTATTATTTATCAAATCCACTGACAAAGTTACCCATGAGAGAAAGGCAAAAAATAACCAAGCTCATTAGAATGGCAATAGTTATTCATTCAATTTATACACTCACTCATTAAATAAAAACCCAGTAAATGAAGGGCACTAGGTTATTTTCTCAGGAGAAATGCACAAACGGAAGCTTATAATTCACAAAAAGGCTATGGGGTATAAGCAGAGCTGGCGGTTGGGGAGAGCTTCTGCAAAGGAAGTCAATATTTGAGCTCAAGGGCTGGGATAGAACTCCACGGTACAGTGCTTACCTAATAGGCACAAGGTCCTAGGTTCTAGGTTTGATCTCCAGCATCACAAAAGAAAATATAAATTAGAGCTAAGGCTCAAGTAATATAGAAAAATTATAGCGAACATATGTTAGAAAGACTTTTCCAGGAAAAAACAAGTAACATGAAGCCATATGGAGTTTGTTGAGACTTGAACCTAGGTCAAATGCTTCTAAATGCAAAGCTTTCAATGCTTTACAATATTTAAAGCTTGTGTCTAGGTCAGCTTTTATCTACTTACCAATTACATTCTAGATCAGAGCTTTCCAATAGAAATATAATCTATTTTATAATATTACATTTTCATCCAGGTTTACAAAACTGTAATCCCAGCCCTTGGGAGGCTGATGCAAGAGGATAAGCCAGCCTGGGATACATAATGAGTTCAAGGCCAGCCTGAACTATATAGCAAGATGCCCTCCCCCCTTTTTTTTAATGGTACCAGGGATGAAACTTAGGACCTTGCTCTTGCAAAGCAGGCACAGCACCACAGAGCTAAATCCCCACCAACCCCATTTTTTTTTAAATTCT